TTTCCTTTTTTTGTCTTTATTTGAAAGATCAATTTCATAAAAGCTACACAAACCACAAGGATAAAATCCATAATTAAGTCTAAAAAATAAAAATAAATATAACTTTTTTACACTTTAATTTTATTAAATTATTAAGTTTAATTTTAATAATATGATATATTTACTTCCAAAGAAATATGTATTACGCATCTATACACATGTGCGTATACACACACATATATACATAGTGAAGTTCAACCTTTTAGGGGAAACCCACCTTCATCAACCATTAGATTGATTTATTTAATTGTGTGATTAAATGGATGTTTATTAACAATATTTTTTAAAATTAAAAAAACTCAATACCCCTAATTTTTATTAAAAAAAAGGAAACAAAAACAAAAATCGAGCAATATAAATTACACCGCATTGGTATATTTTTTTCATATACTTTTATGATTTTTCTGTTTTTAATTTATTTAGCATTTTTCCTTGAACTCAACTCTTTCACTCTCTCTCAATGCAAAATAAATGAAAAACCAGAAAACCAAGGAAAAATCGGATGAGAAAAATATATCAATATGAATGTCAAATTAGTGAGAAAAATATGATTGTTTTTTGGTATAATTTATTTCGCTTGATTTTTGTTTATATTTTGTATTTTTTTTTTTGAATTAAAATAGGTGATATGAGGTTTTTTAATTTAAAAAATATTGCTATAAACGTCAATTTAATCAAATATGTTAAATGAATTAATCTAATGATTAATAATTTTATGCGGAACCATATATATATATATATATATGGAAGAGTTCAAATGAAAACCATTATGATTTACAACAACACGAGAATAGTCTCCAATCCAAGATGTATGTATTCTATCACAATTTAGTAGAGGTTATGAGAATTTTTAATTTTAAAATCATATTTAAAATCTTTTAAAAATATTTAAGACGTTGAAGGGTAAAATTGGAAATTAAAATGATAAAAATCTAAATAAGCAATCACCATGACTCTGATCATCATGGAAGATATAAAGATATTGACTACAAAGGTTATCAGAGAATCGCAACCAAGGTTATCAAAGATTGGTTATCACAAATGGTGTAACGTAATTTGTCATCACCAGTTTGATCAACCAAGCTTGGTTATCACAGTTATCACATTTTGGTTAATGTTCGATTTTTATATGTTAGCGATTGGGTATGCCATTCTTTCATCAATTTCTGCTCGATGATGATCAATTTAAATAACCTAATTGGTTAGGGCTCGATTTGCTATCATTGTTCAATCAACCAAAGTTGTTTATCACATGATTATCACAGTTATTACGCATTTATAAGTGTTCAATTTTCGTATGTTAGTGTTTGGGTCTTCCATGAGAACCCTCTCTTTTGCACAAATGCGAGAACAATTGTGGGTCTCTAACCTTTTTAACCAACTATTTAAATTATAATAAATAAAAATAAATCAATAAGGGTAATAATGTAATTATGTATTTTTTTTTTTTATAATTTTCATGTTATTTAATTAACTGTAATTATCCATGATTTTAGATTGCAATTTGATCACGTCGAATCTCATGTTCCCATTCGTTTTCTATATATGGATATGCGATCTTGTGATATTCATGGTTTCAAATTTCTTTTTTGATCTTGTGATATTATCATGTTTCTGTATCTGCATTCGATGTTGTGATATTCTATATCTACATATTCGATCGTGTGATAAATATGTGATAGTCTATTGTGATGTGATAAATATGTGACTCTCATGGTTATTCGATAAACCAATCATACTAGATGACACATTGTGATAAGCGTGTGATAATCTTCCCCTTATTAATGTGTTACTGTGATATCAATGTAATAACCAATCATCTTCCCTAATTGATGTCTTAATTGTGATAGCAAGATTAAGGGCCCGTTTACCTAAACACTTACCTGCTAAGCGCTTATCGACAAAATTCAACACTATCGCGTACTTACCGAGTAAGATTTTATTCACCAAAACGCATCGTATGCAACAATTTATCCCGCTAAGTGCTAACTATGGTAAGAATCATCGCCCCCACTTACAGGGTAAAACTTTCGATTCTTGCATTCGCTCTTACCGGGTAAAATTCTTAGTCCTTGTCATTTTCATCAAGTAAGATAATGTGACTTGGTAAGCGTTTGGTAAACGGCACCTAAGGTTTTGATTGTTTATATTATCCCAACTAATACTCATTGACTAGGGAAAAATGGAATATATATATTTTTTGTGAATCCCAAAGTCATCACAACTTATAGGTATCCAAATATCACAATTGTGATAAGAATCGTGTGATAATGCGGGTGTGATATCATTGTGATAATAGTGAAACCCAATTATCTTTCCCTAATCGATGTGTTAATGTCTTGTTTGATTCGAATTTTTAACTATGATAGCAATGTGATAGTTAATCAGTGGGAGAGTTAAATGTGACAAACACCTTTTTGTTGTTCGGACTATGATAACGCTTTCGTATCACACAATATTTTTCGACCCCTAACCAATTAGGTTACAGAAATTGATCATGATCGAGCAGAAATCGATAAAAAGATGAAGACCCGATCACTAACATACAAAAATCGAACACTTACCCGTGTGTGATAACTATGATAATCATGTGATAACTATGATAATCATATGATACCCAACTTTGGTTGATCGAGTAGTGATAATAAATTGAGCCCTGACTAATTAGGTTACACAAACTAATCATCATCAATCAAAAATCGACAAAAGAATAGAAGACCTAATCGCTAACATATAAAAACCGAATGTGATAACACCTTAATTGATCGAACTGTGATGACAAATTGAGCAATAAATAATTTTGTTACACAATTTGTGATAATCAATCTGTGATAATTGTGATAACCTTGGTTGTCATTCTCCGATAACCACTGTAGTCGATATCTTTATCTTTTCCTTGATGATTGAAGTCATGGTGATCACTTATTTTGAATTTTATGATTTTAATTTTCAATTTTACCCTTCTATGTGGTAAATTTTTTTAAAAGATCTTAAATATTATTTTAAATTTAAAAAATTTCATAACCTCTACTAAATTGTGATAGAAAAGATAACTCTTGAATTAGAGACTGTTCTCATGTTCTCGTAAATTATAGGGTTTTCGTTTAAACTCTTCCATATATATATATATATATATATATATATATATATATGTTGCACGCAGACATACGTATAGACACACGTAATATATATCCATACTATATTATAAAGTATTTGACAAAAAACTCTTAAAAACCAATTTTTATGCGTAAAGTACTGTTTATTAATGCATATTACTTAAAACTCAAGATTATAAGTAGATTGTGCGTAAGTACAATTTATTAAAGCCCCATATCTGAATTCGTGTAACTAACTGCAGATAAACATAATCAAATACATGATAAACATCTCATTTTGAATATAAAAAATCTAAAATATAATTAGAATAATCATTGAGTTTTAACAGAATAATTAATTATTATCTTTGTAAAATGGTATATTATTAAACTAAAAATAAATTGTTTCATTATTAAACTTAAATTAAATTATAATTAAAAAAATTAAAAAACTTACATAAAAATGAAAGCTTTTAAACAGTTGATTTGATATTAACATTGATAAAAAAAAATTTCAAAATTTTATGATATCTTCAAATTTATGTCTTATTCAAAAATAAAATCATTATTGTTTTCTTAAAAACACATAAAATCGTATTATAACATGGACATACATAAATAATAAAATAGAACATTAAAATCGAGATGTGTCTCGCTGTATTATACGAGTACTTTTGTAGTTTTCTTAAAAGAAAATATATTGGTATATTAGGATAAAACTTAAAATATAATAATTAATATATATATTAAAAAATAATAATTAATTAAATAAACTCAAACTATAAAAGATTTTTTTTTATACTTAATTACAGATTTGGTCCCTTAGATTGTATAGTTTTTACGAAATTGAACCTTTAAGTAAAGACAAAAAAGGAAAAAAAAAATGAAAATACCCTCAAAGTTAATGGAAGAGAAGGAGCTCGTTACAAAACAACATACGATGAGTTATAATATGTAATAAATGAAGTTGATGAACCATTTTCATAAAAACCACTAAATCATAGGAACCAAATCCATAATTCACTTTGTTTTACAAACCATAAATATAGAAGTTGAAGTCAAATGATTTGACAACACATTGGTTAAAAGTCAAGGGACCATCTTTCATAATTCACATAAACGACGACTACAACTTACAACCTTGGACCTATTGATGACGACAACAAATCGTAGGGATCATGACGAAAATAACCTTCAAAAATAGGAAAATTACACTTTTAGCCCAAAAATTGAAAATTTTAACAAAATAGCCTTGTGTTACACTGTTAACAAAATTATACCCTGTTCTGTTGGTAACGTATATTTATATTTATATTTAATTATTACGTTTAAAAAATATTATAAAAAATCATAATTTTAAATTATAGGAAATTAAGTCAAATGTTTAAAAACTTTGAAATTTACGTCCATCTTTTCTATAACTTTTTTTAAATAAAAATAAAAAAACTATAAAATCTCGGAAAATAATATATCATAATATGACATTATTTGTATTATTAAAATATATTGATTTTATTTATTAAATATTTAATTTTAAAGTCTTCTATTCACAAGAAAAACATTAAACATTATTATGTTTTTCCTAAATGTTGATTATATTTTATAAAACATATATTTTTAAAGCTATGAGAATAGTTGTAGATATTTTTACAACAAGAAATTTAAAAGAAATGTATTTTTTAAAATGAGAATTAATTATTTTTTATATATTGCATTGGGACCCACGTTGGAATCATGAAGGCGCTAAACAGATTCCTAGTGAAGCAATTAAAAGATCCCATATTTCCATTGTTTGACTTTCTCAGCCTCTAATCTATCACCCTTCTCTTCTCACTTCTCACACATTCATTCACACAATTATCAACTATGGCACCAACTTGTTCTCCTTTCCAATTTTCCGGCAACTATTACCAACTTTCCGGTGACGGCAGTTGTGTGAGGCAGAGCAGTTTCTTTGGTGGTAAAGCTGTCCTGAATCAAGGTGTTGGGTACTCTGTTATTCTTGGATTCGGTGCCTTTTTTGCCTTCTTCACCTCTTTTTTGGTACGTACTACTCCCTTTGCATCATGTACAACCCCATAATACATAGATAGATACACAGAGAGAGAGAGATAACACCTATGTATATATGGCTAATACAGGTTTGGCTGGAGAAACGTTACGTGGGAGCTCGCCACACGTCGGAGTGGTTCAACACCGCTGGGAGAAATGTTAAAACAGGACTCATAGCAAGTGTTATTGTATCTCAGGTACCATTTCTTTCCGCTTCCAATCCATGGTCCCTTTGGTTTTGATCTGAACCCTAAACCAAATTGCCTCTTACTGTCCCCTTTTGGTTTCCAGCAATGGATTAGATTTGGAGTATTTGGATTTTAAATCCATTTTTAATTTTTTATTTCATGTATGGTTTGTTGGATTGTTCGGAATTAAAATCCTATAATTTAATTGAAATCCTACAAACATAGTATTTTAAAATCCTTAAGTCAGGAATTTCATAGGATTGTATGCAGTTTTAAAAAATTTAAAAACATCTGTTTAGCAACAAGTTACTGGTTAAGTGCTTACCTATGTAAAATTCGTAATTCTTACTTACCGGATAAGACTTTCTATCCCTCTTACCCGGTAAGATTCTTGGCCCTTCTCATGTTATCTGATAAAGAAATTTATCCGGAAAACACTTACCAAATAAGTGTTTAATAAACGGTCCTTTAATAGAATTTAGAAACACTTCAATTTTTTAAGAACGGTTGACCCCTCAAGACCTTTTTATCTTATATTTTTTATTTAATAAATAACGAAGAGTATAAATATTACAGTGGACCTGGGCTGCTACAATATTGCAAAGTTCAAACGTCGCATGGGAGTATGGAGTGAGTGGTCCATTCTGGTACGCCAGTGGTGCCACCATACAGGTTCCACCCTCACCCCACCTTTCTAATCCTGGTTTCGTCTATCATGCTTTGTAACTTGTACTCATGCATTAAACACTTGTACCTTCACTTAAAAACAGGTACTATTGTTTGGTGTAATGGCTATAGAGATCAAAAGAAAGGCTCCTCATGCTCATACCGTTTGTGAAATTGTTAAAGCCCGGTATGTTTATATATAATACTGGAATTCACACCGAGCACTATGATCGCTATAAGTAATAAAGTGATAAAAATACCGATATCGTATCCACAGGGATTGGACTTCAGGGTTTCGAATCGTAGGTCGAAAATGCAATGATTTCAATTAAAGAGAAGAAAATAACTTTGAGCAAGCATTATGAGTGTAAGCATTATGTAAGACATTTGTAGTAACCTCATGGTCAGAAACAAGTGTGACAAAATCTATACGAATTCCTTTCTCTCGAAAGTGAACTCTTACAGAGAATGACCACCTATCTCCATAAAGTCACCACTTTTGCTAACTTAAGACTTGCCGATTTAACTAAGTCGACCTCGAAGGATCGTAGCTCTAGTAGTATGGAAATAAATGTCCAAATCTCTTTGTGACATTAATATCAACTGAAAGTAATATTTCCATTTATTCATCAAAAGAAAACGTCCCTTTTGAAGCCATTTGAACCTTAGCGAAAATCACTCAAAAACACGTATCTCTATATGGTTATAAAAGACCCTCTCGAATCTTTCTTGCATCACTCAAGCCGTATTTCTAGATCTACCCATCTATGGGTTTGAGATCTAATATTAATACTTACAAGTGATCAAGTTGTACGCGTTGACTTAAAATCCCGACTAAAGTGACCAAATCTTTAAGTGTTTATGTTTAAAACACTCACTTAAAGGTCATGAGTTTCATTTTTTCCAATATTTTTTAATAACGGGTTTGTTTGCACGCATCTTGATCAGATGGGGAACGGCCGCACATGTCGTGTTTTTGGTCTTCTGCTTCATGACGAATATCATAGTGACGGCGATGCTGCTTCTTGGCGGCTCCGCGGTGGTCAATGCACTCACCGGAGTCAACATTTATGCCGCCAGTTTTCTAATACCGCTCGGTGTGATTGTGTATACTCTTGCAGGAGGATTGAAGGCCACATTCTTGGCTAGTTATATACACTCCGTGATAGGTAACCTAATGCTATTTTCTATCGGTTTGACTTTTGAGGTCAAACATATCATGTTTTGTTTCAAACAAGGTGGTCACCGGTTGGTTTAAGCTTGGTTCTAAATGTCAAAATACATGGAGGTACCAGGTTCAAATCCAAGAAGGAATAAAAATCCCCTTGTGGCCATGGAGGTTCAAATGCAGTGACTCCGGGATTAGTCGAAGTCCTTACAAAGTGGTTAGATAAGTCGGTTAGGGGCTAAATTAGTTAAATATCCTTTACAGAGCTTGTATTCATATAGTTGTGTATGTCTTGACGTTTGTGGGTCGATTTGGTTTTGTTATCAGTGCACGTGGTACTAGTCATCTTCGTGTTCTTGGTCTACACGGCTAGTAGTGAGCTCGGTAGCCCTAGCGTTGTCTATCGACGCCTAATGGAGGTCTCGAGCAGATCTAGAATGTGTCAAGAACCTCTCTCGCATGACGGACAAGCTTGTGGCCCTGTCGATGGAAACTACAACGGATCTTATCTAACAATGTTGAGCTCAGGCGGGCTTGTTTTCGGCATTATCAACATTGTTGGTAATTTTGGCACGGTTTTTGTCGACAATGTAAGTTTTTTTTTCTTTCCATCAAATCTAGGCCAGAACTAACAGGTTTTGACTCTAGAATGCTTGTTTCTATCTTTAGGGATACTGGGTGAGTGCCATTGCGGCTAGACCGTCCTCGACTCACAAAGGTTACCTGTTAGGTGGGCTCGTATGGTTCGCTGTGCCATTCTCGTTGGCTACAGCTCTCGGTTTGGGAGCTCTAGCCCTTGATCTTCCATTAACCGCAAGTGAAGCGAGCCATGGGCTTGTTCCTCCTGCTACAGCTATCGCGTTGATGGGGAAAGGGGGATCCGTCCTCTTACTGACCATGCTTTTCATGTGAGTTGAAATCTTGAGCACGATAATGCAAATCATGCTGCAATCACGATTTCTAACCTGTTCGTAACGTGTTTACATTAGGGCCGTGACATCTGCTGGTTCTTCGGAGTTAATAGCTGTTTCATCCCTTTGCACCTATGACATCTATCGAACTTACGTCAATCCAGATGCTAACGGGAAACAAATCTTGAAAGTTTCAAGGGCGGTCGTGTTCTCCTTCGGATGTTTCATGGGAATTCTAGCGGTTATACTAAACAAAGTCGGGGTTTCACTTGGTTGGATGTACTTAGCCATGGGCGTGTTCATCGGCTCAGCCGTTATCCCCATCGCCTTCATGCTCCTATGGCGAAAAGCGAATGCTTTTGGCGCTATTTTAGGCACAACCGTCGGGTGTCTCCTAGGAATCATCACTTGGTTATCAGTTGCTAGTGTTGAATACGGTCGAGTCAACCTAGACACAACAGGAAGAAACGCACCTATGCTCGCTGGGAATCTAGTCTCAATTCTAACAGGTGGGGGGATCCACGTTGTATGCAGTTTGTTGAGGCCGCAAAACTACGATTGGGAAACCACAAAGCAGATAACGGTTGTTGAGAAGGAAAAGAGTGAACTTTCGGTCGATGAATTTAAGGAAGAGAAGCTGATTAGTGCGAAGAAATGGATCATCAAATGGGGTGTCGGGTTTACCTTCGTGATCGTCGTTTTGTGGCCGCTTTTATCGCTTCCTGCAAGTAAATTCATGATCTGTTTCGACTATTTCCATTACTCGACTTATCGTACCACATTTGGTGGGATATTAGCTGTAACAGGACAGGACTAACAAGATGAAAATCTGTCTACCAAAATAGGTGGAACAAAAGTAGGGAGATTAGACGAGATTGGTAAATTATTAAACTACCCATGTCAAATATAACCTTAAAACCTTGCACAACTCTTTCCACCCCTATCTCACGCTCGCTCGTCCTGTATATCCCGTTCCGTCCTGTTCCATTATGTCTTGGCCTGTGTAGTTTGCGTACCAAATGCACCCTTACTAACTTCTACTTGTTACTTTGTGAATTCAGGGGATTTTAGCAAAGGATACTTCACTTTCTGGGCGGTTGTGGCGATAGCATGGGGTACAATTGGGTCGGCCGTGATCATCGTTCTACCACTAGCCGAGAGCTGGCAGGCGATTCAATGTGTTATGCTCGGAATGTTCACCAACGATAAGCTTGTCGGGAAGATCGAAGAACTGAATCTGAAGCTCGAAACCATCATCAAAGCTGTACCAGATGCCGAGAGAATTTACTTGCTCGAAAAGGGAAAGATGAAGAAAAACGAAACATCACAGCTAGTGTGAAACTGGAAAACCACAAATCGATCATCTTCCTTGATCAGATTTCGACAAGCTAGATCGAGGGCTACCCGATCAGCTTCAGCTAAAACACAAATGGTAACAAGACAAGAACCAAGTTGGCTCTTTTTGTGTGATAGATTTAAGTGTAAATTCGTTTAGTTTCAACAAGTAAATAAGAAGAATAAAGAACAGTAAAGCCTGATGAAATTGGAATCACCTGAGATTGAAGTTACACTTCTTATCTTGAAAGATTTGAATGGATGATGAATCAATAGGAATGTATAAAAAACCTCTGAAATTTAAATCGGTCAAACTAGTACAAAAATATAAAAGATAAATAGTTTTTTACAAAAGTATAAAAGATAAATAGTTTTTACAAAAGTATAAAAGATAAATAGTTTTTGCTAAAAAATCTCTTTCGGCCCCCAAAATATGAACTATTTAATAGAGGGTGGATTAGAATTAAGAGATATTAAAGAATACGTTTATAACTTAAAATTTCAAATGATATTTAGAGTTTTTAAGCTCTTATTTTAAAAATGAAACAAATGCTCTTATGTCCAAATGTCTGAACGAATCACAATTCGGAGATACAAGAGGTAATTTTTAAAAAAAAAAAACAAACAAGCCCTTAAAGTTTTGTCGAAAGAAGGTAGAGAGCGGAGATTACTTGTTTACTACACGAAGACATCCGACAAGTATTCGTCCGAGCAGAGAGAAGCACCACCGGCCGCCAGTGAAAGGATGAGAGCGAGCGGAGACCCGGAGTGATGGTCGGTCTGGTTTCCCAACCGATTTTAAGACATAATATTTGGAAATTTAGTTTTACTTTTAGGGATGAACCTATCGTAGCTAATACACACACACACACACATATATATATATATATATATATATATATATATATACTAGGTTCGATCCTGTGTATTACACGGGGTAATTTAAAAAAAATTAAATCATGTCAGGAAATTATGCCAAGAGTCAACATTCTATCTTACATTATGGGGGTAACAATCCTTGCCATCAAAATAGATTGAGGGTAAACGTTTATGACTAGGTAAGAGTCATCACCTTCATTTACTAGGTTCTTGATCCTTATTGAACGCGTAAGTACTTACCAAGGTAAATTTTAAGTAAACGGCCCCTTAGTCAAATTAATAGTGTTATTATAACTCACTTCATGGGTAAAGCTTAAAAATTTGCTATTCCATTGACAGAAATGGCATTTACAAAGCTAGTTATTTTTGCAGATTCATAAAGATCCAAGGATTATGATAGGAAAAGGGGTAAAAAGGCCAAGGAAGCATTGACTTGCCGGCTACAATTCTAACTATCTCTTGGTGAGTTAGCAGATCCTTTATAAAAGGGATCATATTATCTAGCAGTGTCAACTAACAGTCTCTGTTGGGCAGCAAAGCAAACAAATTGAACTTATATTCCATCACCATTTATTCTATATTGACGCAACTCAATGTATTTCAAAACATTGCAGTAATGGAACTCATACCAAATGAGGAATCGTTAGCATGGCAAATGCATGACTCGGTACTAAGGGAAGTCAATTCTTTATATGCATATTCAAGATGTGCTTGTTTTTGGTTATTCAATTCTCTATCTGACTTAAAATAAATGTTCATATTTCTTTTTTAGTTTGTCCAAAAAAACAGGTATTCATATTTACAAACTACATCTTACAAAAACGCTATCAAACCTTATTGTATCATAACAACGAGGAACATCTCCTACACCATAACACATCTTTGTAAACACTGATTTGTCCAAATATGTCTAATTAAAAGAGACAATTATTGATGGGAAATATAAATTAAAAGGTAGACGAGAGGGGTGACATATAGTTGACAGTTGGCCTGGTAGAATATGAAATTAGATATTCATTTTTAATTGGTTGGAACAAAATTAAAATTAAAAATAAATGTACAATTATTTATTCAAGAAACATGATTCACGACATACGGATCAATATACATAATATATATATACATAAGCTTAATCATTTAAGAACGCTATATATTATATTAATTATAAGAACTATTATCTTAAGGTATTGTTTCAAATGATGTATTAATGAACATGTATTTGTTTCACAAGGTGTTTGCTTCATATGTATGAGATTCACACTGTGAAACTTCTTTAAATGTAACTTTTGTTTCACAAAGAGGCTAAAAGGAATCACATTATGTAACAAATACATGTGAACAAACACATTGTAAAACAAACATATATTATTCGATGTTCTAAATACTAGTCTTAGATAAAAAATTAAATTAAATATCACATGATACACTAGCTCTCAAAGTTATTTCAATTTAATAGGTTCTCAAAAGAAGGTCACCTCTATACATACATACATATATATATATATATATATATATATATATATATATATAAAGAGAGAGAGAGAGAGGGGTTTAGAGAAAAACATGAAAAAATGAAAAGCTAAGGGACACTTAGTAACAGTTCATCCGCACGGTATGCACATGCACATACAATCAGTTGAAGATGTTTTCTAGTGTCTACGTGCGTGTCTATAGATGAACGTTATACACGCTGCGTATATATGAACGGTTACTAGTGTGTTTCTCAGTTTTTAAATTTTTTACGGTTTTTCCTTGAGCCTGTCCCTATATACCTATCTATATATCTTTCTCTTTTTAAATATAGGCTTAGATTTTCATGAGAACCACAAAAAAATTGAAAGGAGTGAGACCATGATATATATACATTTTAAAAATATGTATTTCGTCCGTAAGTATATTTATCAATACATACGTATATATACATTGATACATATAGATATTGAAATTCATTAGCATATACACATTAATGTATATATATGTACATACAGGTTTTCACGATTGTTAATTTTTTATGGTTTTCATAATGAACCGATATATATATATATATATATATATATATATAAAAGATAGATAGGAGAGAGAGGGGGAGAGTTGACCAAGGGCTTCTTCTCATTACATTGTTAAATACATTACTAGCTTTCTCACAAACAGATGCAATAATAGCCCCTTCAAGCTCTTTATATATTCTTTGGAATTATTGAACTTGTTTTCTTGTTCAACCATCAAAATGATGCATGTTACAAAACAATTTCATCACATCCAAATACAACTAGAAGCTATAATATCAGCAACCAACAACTTTTCCGATGACAATTGCATCGGAAATGGAGGATTTGGGAAAGTGTACAAGGGAGAACTCCTCCATTCAGAGAGGCAAACCGTGGTTGCTGTAAAGCGTTTAAATCGTGCATTTGGGCAAGGAGACCCCGAGTTCTGGAAGGAGATCATCATGCTTTCCCGTTACAAACATGAAAATATCGTCTCTCTTTTAGGGTTTTGTGATGAGAGTGGTGAGAAGATCCTCGTGTACGAGTATGCATCTAAGAAAAGTCTAGACTTGTATCTCAACAGTGAGGATCTAACATGGATCCAACGCCTAAAGATTTGCATTGGAGCAGCTCGAGGACTCGCCTATCTTCATAATCCTGGTGGGACCCAACAAAGGGTATTGCACCGTGATATTAAAAGTTCTAATATCCTCTTAGATGAAAATTGGAATGCTAGGATATCAGATTTGGGTCTATCCAAATTTGGTCCTGCCAACCAACAAATCACATTTCTTGTCTCCAACGCTGTAGGCACGATTGGGTATTGTGACCCGGTATATGTAGAGACGGGGGTATTAACAAAGGAGTCAGATGTATACTCGTTTGGCGTGATGTTGTTCGAAGTACTGTGTGGGAGGTTATGTATTGGCAATAACAATGATAAGTATCGACCACTGACAGGATTGGCTCGACAGTGCTATGAACAGAACAAAATAAACGAAATCATTTATAGAAATATAAAGGATGAAATAAAGCCCAGGTCTTTGAAGGCGTTTACTGCAATAGCTTATCAGTGTTTGAAGAGAGATCTTGAAGAACGTCCATTAATGACCAAGGTTGTGAGAATACTTGAACGTGCGCTACAACATCAAGTAAGTTTCCTTTTCTAATTCTACTCATTAATTAGTTGTTGGTAATTATTATCTTGGCGGCATCACACAATTTGTGGATCATACCGAGAAACTGAATAAGTTTTTCTTAATTATAAATTAATCAGCAGGGTGATGCAAATAGTCCTGCAGATTATGATAGCGATGATGAGGACGTAGTAGAATCAGATTTTTCGCCGTTGGATGGTGGTACAAGCAGAAACCATGTGGCGGTATGACTTTCTATCACTCCTTACATCGATGCTTTAGATGTAAATCATCTTACACGTTACTTTTCCTTGGATAGATTCTGGAATTCGGCTTAAAACATAATACTATGGTATTCATCTTTTCACTGTTTGAATTTGCCTTCGTTTCTTTGTTTTAGGAAAAGAGGTTGACGATGAACATGCGCTTAAAGGAGCTGCGTGAAAGAGTGAAAAAGCAACAAGAAGTGGTGGAAGAGAAGGCAAGTACTTCTACAGATTCATTGTTTCACTAGAATTTTAGCCATATCTTTTACAATCAGATCTTAAGCTTGATAGTTTGTGTAACCTGCTTGATAGTTTACTGAATAAGCCACTTTAATTTTTATACCATTAAGTCATTATCAAACAGTCATGTACAACGGCTGTGCAAACAAGTTGTGAGTTCCGTCAAATTAATTAAACTGCTAATAAACCCTTATAAATTTGTATCGTGTTTCAAAAGAAAAAAAAAATAAAGTTGTAGTATTAGATAAGTAGGCATGTGGGAAATTTAATGTCATAAAGAGTTGAGTTATGTTTCTTTTATTGTAGAATTTGATAATAGAATTTAATGCCATTAGGTATCCCATCCCCATTTCTCATAAGCTTATTTACACCATTTATGTCTTTGTTTCTGTAAAAACTCAATTTAATATATAACTCTTCCCTAATTATATCCACCAAATCACTACGTTCCCTTTCAATCCCAGATAAATTGAATTTAATATATAACAAGTTTTTTAGGACATTTTTTATACAAAACGTTGCATTAGCAATTCTATAGGACATTATTCGAAAATGTGGCCTATAAAAACAAGTGCCCGTAAAATGATGGATTTATAGGACACTTTCTAAGAAAATGTTCTATAAAATTGCTAATGCAACGCTTTGTATTTAAAAGTATCCTAAAAATTTGGTTAAGACTCTAAAAAACGTCTTATAAATTTATTACAACGCCTTTAGATAATATATTTTTGGTCCTATAAAATGGTCTATTAAAACGCTTATAAAATGATGACGTCATATAAACCCAATTTTGTTGTAGTGAAGTGATTATCAAACATATTATCTCCCATCCCTAATTCCTAACATATTACAGGTTTAGTTAAATATTGAAATTCAGAGGGAACATAAAGAATATTGTTTTAATGGGGAAAACAATTTAGCAACTCGTGGCTGAATTGAGTTTGGGGTTTTTAAGTCATATATATATATATATATATATATATATATATATATATATATATATATATATATATATGAGTGATCATATGAAAACCGCCCTCATTTGTGTAAACCGTGCAAACCACCTTCATCTGTCGATTTCATTGTTTAATTTTATGAAATTTTTTCATGAAATTGTTTAATCTTGAAAAATTGTTTCATATAATATTTTTTTTGATGAAGTTGTTTCATATATGGTTGTGAAATTGTTTCATATAATACTTAATGAAACTGTTTCATGTATTTCTCTAACATTAATGAAACTGTTTCATGTATTTCTCTAAAATTAAAATAATGAAGATGATAATATCTATGATTAACACCCTCCACAATAAAAATGATTAATCAACCTCTCATAATTACAAAAAAATGAACAAAATGAAAAATTATGATCGGTTGAATGCGGTTTGCACGGTTTGTACAAATTGAGTGGTTTGCATTTGATCGCTCCCATATATATATATATATATATATATATATATAAGAGAGAGAGAGAGAGAGAGAGAGAGAGGATTTAGTAGATGAGTGGCTTATGGATTTGTTTCACCAATTTGTAGAGGTTGAAAACAAATCTAGTAGAGCAGCAAGAGACGGAGCTAGAGATGGAGCACAAGTTGAAGGAGATTCGTCATATGATTCAGTCAAAACTTGCTCTAAGAACCAAGGCTGTAGACAAGTCTGTTCCTGACATTTTATAGGTCCTGGGCGAACGTAAAAACAAGGCCCACTGCAAGCTCTCATTGTGAGAGCTTACAGAGGGCATGGAGGTGTTGAGACAGCAGGAGAGGAGAGGGCAGGTGGTGTGACTAACAAAGTGGCTGCAATCTCACTCAACCATGACATTGTTTCCTAAACTTGCAATTGGTAAGTGAACTGGAATAAGGTTTGTGGTAAGATTAGTTATAAATTACGCTAAAAGTTATTAAGAAACTTAATGATAATTTTTCCTAAATAATTGGATGTCTATTTGCGGTACATCCTCTCGGTGCAAGTATTCTGGAGATGCATTTTTCTCGCACCGAATGCATTGTGAATTTGTTAAAACATTTCCTGTAGTTTTCAATGGATTTTCTGTTTGTCGGATCAAATAACAGTTCTAGATGGATAAACCTCGTCCCAGTTTCATAGTAAATCTCCTTCTCGATAACAACCACACCATAAACTCCTCGAACGTTAATTTTTCTTATTTATAAAATCAGATATTAATTAGGGTAGATGGACGATTAAAATTGGTTTATATTTGAAACTTCCTATCTATATAGGGGAGGCTAATTAATATATGTCTATATGCATATAAGCTCTAAATCTAAGTGTTTAAATTGTAAACTATTCACAATAGAGTCACACTCACAATTGTTTTATATTTGTCCCTTAACACGCTACTAAAAACACCACTTTTTCCAACTATAGTTTTCGTTGGAAATCCGTCGGCAAAAGCCATTTCTGATAGACCTTATGTCGGAAATTGACAGTCGGTGATTTTCGGGTTTGAAAGTTTTTCCGACGGAGACGGAAATCAGATATTTTCAACGGAATAGTTTATCGGAAAAGCGTAGATAACATGTTAAAATTCTTTGGGAAAAAAACCATATTTTTTATGGGTACCTGACGGATTTTGACCAAAATTATTTCAGATAGATTTTCGCTATTGTCAAGTTGGGACATTGCTTAAAGCAACAATAAACACGGACATATGCTTCACATAAAATATCCCGAATCGGGTTGGATGAAACGTACAACATGCAATGCACAGAGTACAACTGACAAGTGTGGCAATGACTTCTTATATACTCCAATAACCACTCGGAAAAATAAAAAAAAAATAGATTTTTGAAGTTTTAATCTCAAAAAATATCTTAAAAAAGGAGGTTTTTCTAAGACCAAATTTTGCCTTTTTTTTATTTTCTATTTCCGCATGTCAAATTAAGAACTCTCTTGAAGATCGATCATAATTGAAAAAAAAAACTCATTGATGATGGGGAGGTTTATTTTTTGAGAATTGTGAAATCAGATGTGAAGTTGTGGAGGAACAAATACACACAAAACCTTCACGTCAAAGATACTTAAGCTACAAAAATAAACTTTTATAGTGTTCTGTTGTGAATGTTCGGTGTTTTTTTACCCTTCAAAGTGGGCCTGGTTTTTGCTTATATATATATATATATATATATATATATGTATATACTAGGTTTGGACCCGTGTATTACACGGGTTAATGACACAAGAATTCAGAATTCTATTGTTAGACTGGAAAATAATTCTGAAGTTAACTCTGAATAAGAGTAATTCAGAGTTGTCTTCTAAGTCTAGAAAGTATCTACGAACAAAATTCTGAGTCACAAAAATTTTGATTTCTTATAACTCAGAAACTAACTCTGAAGAGGAGTTTAGAGTTGTATTCTAAGTCTGGAAATAAATTATATAACTAAGTTTGGAACAGAACAATTCAGAGTTATGTTGTAAGTCTGAGAAATAACCAATATCTGATGCCTTCATGTTGATGATTTGTATCACTAATATCATTTAAATGTAATGGGATTAAATTGTTGACCAATATAATCATGATAAATATTAAACAGGTAAGGCAGGTGCGGAGTGCACACTTGTTTTAGTTTATTTTGATTTAGGGACGAAGCCCCTAACAGAAGGGGTCCGGGGGCAACGCCCCCGGGTGGCGGGGTCCAAGGGGCAGAGCCGGTTTTGATGACCACTCCAGAGTTAAATTCAGACATGAATTTTTCTAGAGTTATGTTGTGAGTCTGGGGGCCGTAAGTAAAAATTGTGTTTTAGGTGGAAAAAATCAACAACTGTCGCACAGAAACGTGACACGTGTCCCCAAAGTTAATTATATATTAGTATTATAGATTAGTGACATGTATATAAATTAATTAACTTTATATTTTTATTAATTAATAAAGTATTAATATT